CAGGATACATGCTCTATTGTTATCCTAGTTTTTAGATTTTTCCTAATATGCTGCTACTTTTGGCTTTTAGCTAACCATTGGCTAGAATTAGCTGTTAGTCAGAATTTTGTTACTTTTAGCTAGTCTTTCACATCATCTACCATTAAGCTACTGAGTTGCCACTTTTGATATTTAGCTAGTATTTTGTTTTTGACCTTTTAGCTAGCATTTTGTTACTTTTAGCTAAGATTTAGCTATGTTTGAATTAGAGCTAGTATTTTGACACTTATCTTTTAGTTAGCATATAGCTACTTTAGCTCTTAGCTAGCATTTTGTTTCTTTTAGTTTTTAGCTCACATTTTATTACTTTTAGCTAAGATTTAGCTATGTTTGAATTTGAGCTAGTTTTTGTTACTTTTTGCTTTTAATTAGCATTTAGCTACTTTAGCTCTTAGCTAGCATCTTGCAGCTTTTAGCTAGCATTTTGTTACGTTTAGCTAGGATTTAGCTATGTTTGAATTTGAGCTAGTATTTTGCTACTTTTAGCTTTTAATTAGCATTTAGCTACTTTAGCTCTTAGCTAGCATTTTGTGACTTTTAGCTAGCATTTTGTTACTTTAGCTCTTAGCTAACATTTAGCTACATTTAACTTTTAGCTATCATATTGGTTCTTTTAGATTTTCCCGTTTCATCTTAACAGAAAATGTCAATTATCTAGCTAATAATATGAGCCATTAAATAAAACCAGTCTTGCAAGTTTTTATTCTTCATCCAGGATTACTCAGTAGTCTGTTGAAGGTGATTTTGGTTTGTGTGGTCCTGGTCTACAGAAACACTGCCTGCTGGTTTATTTCAAGTGTTTTTGCATTTGTGGGCTTTATGTTCAAATTGACATACCGGTAATTTAAAAAACATATTAACAATTGCCATCACGGGGCTTCACAGCAGCAAACAGCTGCTTCAGAAATGGACAAGAAAACTTGAGTTCAAGTCAAACAATTTGTTCTCCATTTGTACCAACGTTTCCAGTAGAGCAGATGATTCATTTGACTGGTTTAAAGTCACATGAATGGACTTGTTATAAATCCAGATAATAATTCAAATCAGTAACACACAGAACCAGCTCTATGCTGAACTACACTGACCCTCACACATGCAAATTCCTCTCTCCAGCTGTATTTCACTAAGAAATGAGGAGTGCATGTGACGATGTGCACGCCTGCTTGTGTCAGCTTCATTGAAGTATATTTTAAAACAAAACACCAAATTTGTGGGGTTTGTTATACCCATGGGTGAGTTAGGGACAAAGTGAATTAAATTCATGATTTAAGAACGTTAAATCTGTTTATGATTATTGCTGATCTTCGGTTCACAGTGTCCAAAGCAATAAAACCAAATGCACCGTGCACTTGTGTGTATTATGACTGAGATCGACAGCTGATTCCTTTTATCAGATCTACTAAAGAAAGTGAATTTTCCTCTTCTGGTTTAAACACACACAGTCACATGCAGACCCGTTAAACGTACTCGGGTAGTAACTTAAACCCAAACAGATCACAAAATCAAATTCATTTATTTTACAGCAACCTGCCCTTCTATCTACTCGGCTTTTGTTTCTAAAAGAGGGGGCAGGTTGAAACAGTGTGACAAGGTAAACAGAATTACAGCTCGCACCATGTCTAATGCAAGTGCACCCCCCCCCCCCCCCCCCACACACACACACACATCTGTGTCTAAACAAGCCCTTCACCTGCTCATCACCTGCTCTGGGTGCACACACGTACAGAGAAGCACAATGAATGGGTTAGCATCAGACAAAGAGAAAGCTGGTCACACAAGTAAACACATGGCCCACAGGTAGAGCACATACACATGTGCAAACACTCACACTGTAAAAAAGACTAAAAGAGCTGAACTCCATTAGAACTCAGTGAGAAAAAGAAGGACACACTCATTTAAAGAGTGTGTGTTTTGGTTCCAGACATGGCTGCATGGTTGTTGCTTTTCGTTTAGGATGTTTGTGGCAGCAGAAAGTCCAAAAACAGTTTTAGCACAAATATACTAATGCTGACACAAAGATGGCAAAAATGATAATTCAATTTAAATGTCCCCCCCCCCCCCCCCCCCCAGAGGTGGAGGATTTTTATCAACACAAATGTAATACATATATTTTACCACTAGATGGCAATAATGTTAAAGAAAATGTCCATCCCCAGAATTAAAAAAAAAAAAAAAAAAACTCGTTTCGTCACACAACCATAGAAATTTAATTATCTCATGTTTTCAAAAATATATATATAAAATGCTAGAACATTGTAAAATCAGAATAAAAATGTTTTTTATTTCAAAACTTGCATTAAATCTAGCCAAAACAGTGAGATTGTTAATTCAGATTACATTTGTGAGAGTCAACATTTTCAAAGCTTTATATTGCAACTATTTACAACTATGTAATGAATTTAAGTTTTACTTTTACGAATACATAGAGCAGTAAACGTTTCAGCTGCCGACCCACAAATTAGCAGGGGCGTGCGACCACCTAACATTACTGGTTACAACAAAAATACTACAAACTAGCTTCGAGAGGACATGGAGGTGGAGGGACATATAGGAGACTGCGGTGTGGGGTTTAAAAAAAAAAAAATTGAGTTCTGAAGACCATTTTGGGAGATTTACTTGACATTTTTAAGACCCACAGTGGGGTCATGACCTTAACTTTGGTTTTCACAGCTTTACATAAAACCCACAGTTATTGGAATCGGCTCTTCTACCGTATTTTTTGGACTATAAGGCGCACCGGATTATAAGGCGCAATATCAATGAACAGGTGCACACAATTTAGTTCCACCACATCACATGTGGTGCGAATGACAAATAAAGAAACTCTGACTCTGTTTTCATACATAAGGCGCACTGGATTATAAGGCACATCAAGCAAAACAAGTTCATTTTGACTGATTTTTGTTGAGCACCGTGTACCACATAAAAGTGGTTCGAGGTCAGTAAGCACAACCAGAATTAATACATTAGGTGCACTGGATTATAAGGCTCACTGTCGAATTTTAAGAAAAATTAAATAGTTTTAAATGCACCTTATAGTCTAAAAAATACAGTAATATGTTTTTGTTCACAAGTAGGGGTGCACCAATAAATCGGTCAGTTTATTGCCCCCTATTTCCTTAATGTTGGGATTAGAGATCGGCCGATACTTACACAAGAGAAACCGATTTTACAGAGTTTTTGTAGTTTTAAAAACAATTGTCTAAACTTCATTTATATTTCAGCTGAAATATAAACCTGTTAAACATGAGGTAGTGATCTAGAGCACGACCTCATGTCCAGTTAAAACAAGTTTGTATTGTTTCTAGGATATTGTTCAAGGGTATGTTTTCCAATAAAATAAAAGTGGAAAATTGAAGGTGCATTGTGAACTTATAACACCTGACAGAGTCGCTTATAAAACAAAATCGGTATCGGCAGGTCAGGCTTTATATAAGGAGATCGGTGATCGTCCAGAAAACTGCAATCGGTGCACCCCTGTAACATTTTTAACACAAATATGACTTTTATACACACACGTGTTTGTCCATACTGACGCATTTAAACATGGAATTAAGCTACAAGTGATTACGTGAATACATTAATACAAATTTACAAATAATTTTGGTATTTTTTGGTTAACATAATTTTGATTAAACATGATTTTGGTCTTTATTTAGACGCTCATCTTTTTCACCTTGCTGTCTTGGTTATGAGGGTTAAACATCTATCATCTTGTGTGTTTTAACAGTCATGAATGGCGACAGAGTGGAGACCCAATTTCCCAAATGGTTCTGGTCTTAAAGTGAAGCAATAAACCTCCTCGTGGGTTCTCCAGCTGACTGAAGGTGAAGGAAATACCCTCTTTGGTTGAAGTTAGCACACGCCCTCACCATGCGAGATGCCTTGAACTCTTTCCTCATAGTTCAGGATCCAGTTTACCTCCAGCAGAGTGGGAGATACAGCGAAGGGGGGGGATCAGCACCCAGAATGTGTCTATTATCCTCCTACACCAATCAAACTGTTGTGTCAGTGTGTTGCCATTGTTTCGTCCTGGGTCAGGCTGCGACTGACCATGGCTGCCATATTGATGACTCAGTCAGTTTGGGGCTCTGAGGACAATGAAGCCCTGGAGCCTCCACAAAGCGCCAGGCTAATGCTCTCCTTTCAGCCGGCTGCTCAGCTGCTGAGTGTGCAAGGCTGCCGGGCATGTGGAGTGGCGCAGGTCCAGGGGGCCTCGGCCCTATAAAAACACAGGCGAGGGTCTCGTCCCCGACATTGATTATACTGGATCTGTCCCACCTCAGTACCGTCTGTAAGTATATCATGTTACCTCATACGAAGCTGCAGGGGAATCCATACAGGATGACAGCTGTGTGTACTGGAGTCCAGCTCATTGATAAGAAGATGATCGTTGTATTATATTCTAGAGAGATGGACTCATGGTTTGATTTGCTCATGAAATCATGAAAACAATTTGTTCATTTCTTTTTGGGGGATTTAAGCAAATCAAATCTATATTCCTTTTTTTTTTTTAGAAGAATGCATTGTTACCCAAAAATGTGCTTGTGTTCTCTATGTTTATATCACACAAGCATTTTCTCGAACCTGCAATGATCTAATTTTACTGTACCGCAAAAGTAATTTAATCAAAACTTAAAAAAAAAAAAAACAGAAACAAGACGTATGCATTTATTTTTGCTTCCATTCTGTATGGTTTGCAACATATGTGGTCATCTGGGTAACAAAACTTTCTGCTGAGATGAAATGGACTAATCAATATATTTTTATGTTCTGTATCGCTTTACTGATTATTTCAGAGGTTTCAAAAAATTGAATAATCAATTATAAGGAAACCAAAGAGCACAACGTGTTAGGTTTTGTTTCATCGAATGCATGCGCGCCTTTTGTTATGGATTTGAGTTTAGTTCAGTGTAATTGTTCTTCTCCAGAGAGCAAGCCCCACAGGAGAAGCCGCAGCCATGAACACTCAACAGATGGAGCAAATGGGCCAGTTCCGGATCACAGTCTGGGAGGAGGAGAACTTCCAGGGAAAGCGCTGTGAGTTCATGCTGGAATGTCAGAACATCATGGAGAGGGGCTTCAACAAAATCCGCTCCATCAAGGTTGAGAATGGACCGTAAGTCAGAAGCACTGGTGTTCTGTTTTAGTACACACACACACACACCTTCAACCAGCTGGCCCTGCTATCCTCTTTAGCATTTGTAGGATAGTGTCTAATAATAAGGCCAGGATTTTATTATGTTAGTTAGACAATCAAAGTATTTTATTACATATGTTATAATTCACATCATGATTAAAACGCTCATACATTGTATTTAATTTGCCTAGAAAAGCATGAATAGAAAATAATTCTGCGAACCGAATTCTATTAAAGGATAGCAAAAACATAAATATACAAATTACAGCCTGCGGTTTTATTACTTTACTAGTTGGCATGTATCGCTTGTGTGTGTGTGTGTTTGTGCATTCATGTGTGACCCTGCTGTGATATGAGTTGGCTGCATGCAGCTGCCGGCTGACTGACTGTCGATCAGATAACGAGTCCTGGGTGCAGCAGGGACGGCAGCAGCCCTTAATGTTTGCTTTGTGCCTCCAAGTGGCAAAAAAAAAACAACACAAAGAAGAAGCTGTGTTTGGTTTTAGCATGGGGGTCTGTTCAGTAGGTTGTTTATCACCATATGACCATTTAAAACTTGTTTTTTTTATTTACTTTTTTCTCCATTGTGTTGCATTCTTCACTGATTTTATTTTTTTACCCCTTTCTTTATTCCTCTCCTCCAGTTGGGTGGGTTATGAGTACCCAGAGTTTCAGGGACAGCAGTTCATCCTGGAGAAGGGAGACTATCCTCGCTACGAGGCCTGGAGTGGAAACAGCAGCTACAGAACTGAGCACCTGCTTTCCTTCAGGCCCATCAAGTGCGCTGTACGTTCTCTTTCATCCCATTCACCTGTTCGAACCGGCTCACTGCTCTTCTCCACCAATATTTGGTTACGTTAATTATGCATCACATTGCTTTTAACCCCTTTATGTCAGTAATTTTCTCCTGATTCATCTCAGATGTATTGTTTTGTACCTCTATCAAACTGCTCGATGACATTTGAACAAAGGTTTTCCACTTTTTTTAATTGCAGAAGAATATCAGCTGTTAAATCATTTATGCATTTTCTTTCGTTCCTCTGCAGAATCACAGCGACAGCAAAGTGACCCTGCACGAATGTGAGGACTTCCAGGGCCGTAAGTTTGAGATCTGCGACGACTACCCCTCCCTCCAGGCTATGGGCTGGTGCAGCAAGGAGGTGCCCTCCATTAAAATCAACTCCGGAGCGTAAGTCCCATATCGTCCTCTCTACAGATGGGATCTTATTTCCAAGGTTTATTTCCTAATGTTCATCAGTTTTTTGTTATTTTATTGTTTGCACAAAAAATAAACGATACACATAAAGGAAAAGATAAAAACTAAATATGCAGGAGAGGTCATAAAAACCCAAAATGGGCTTACAAGGATAAGGAAAAAAATCATAAAAGCTTTATACAGAAGCTTACATCTTACTTTAAACACACACATACACACCAAAGCGATAGATAATAGTTTATTATAAATGGACCAAAAATATTAAAATAATAATAAAAAATAAGACAAATGTGTTAAAAAAAAATCCATAAACTTTGTTTCAACTTTCTTTTAAAGACATATAATATTGCACATGATTCACTTTGTTGTTTTAAACTGTTCCACAGCTCAACACCTTGATGCATGCATGAACATTTAGCAACGTTCTGCAGAAGGGGATATGTAAATCATAGCTCCTCCTTGTAGAGTATGAATGAGAAGAATTAAACTCAAAGAAATTATGAACATATTTAGGTAACGACAATGGAATACAAATAACTTTATACATCAAGATTCCTGTTTGATACTTATTCAGTTAATGCAGCCATTCTGCCGTTTGATGAAGTTTTGTGTTATAGAGCGAACAGACATACAAAGGCTGCTCACTTTCTAGGAACTCCAGACTCTTTATCAGCAAATCGGCGTTTTGTTCAGTGTGAACTGAAATCTGTAGCTGCAACGTTTCCCCAAGTCTGTTTTGAATCCGTCGACCTAATAATGACCAGACCCGTCCTTCATCTCTGCAGCTGGGTGGCCTACCAGTTCCCTGGTTACCGTGGTTACCAGTACATCCTGGAGCGAGACAGACGCCAAGGCGAGTACAGAAACTACAACGAGTACAGCACCCAGGCTCACACCAACCAGGTGCAGTCCATTCGTAGGATCCAGCACTGAGCCGACACCCTGCACGGTCCCGACCTGAACAAAAACAAAACTAAACGCTTCCTGATGGTGAACCCTGGACAGACCGCTGCCACTGAACAGTAGACGGACAAACTCTACCGCTCTGTGGCTCTGGATGTTTGGATATTTTAAGCGCATACTTCTACCATGCTAAAGCTTGTTCTTGAAATAGGAAATAAAGGCTTTTCTTCAAAACTAGAGACCGTTTGTCAGTATTTCTTTTTTTTCCTATAATGGCGTTTTTCCACTCCAATAAAATAAATAATGTAAAATACTGTTACAATTTTCAAGACTATGCTTAAGCAAATTACTTTTGGGATGACAAAAAAACATAAAAAAAAAACGTCTGAGAAATCAGAGCCAGTTTATTTATTTTTTTCCTTTTCTGAGATGGATTTTAATTTGTATTTACTGAAAACATATTTAGCCTTTTAGTGAACCTACATGGAACGATTTGATTCTGATGTGTACTGTTGTTCTCGTCACGTTGTGTTCTTAATAAACAGGAGCATGAGATTTCTTTGCTTCCTATTATTTGTTTTATGTCACTTGGGCTGCTGGCACAGATGCAGGTTTTCAACGTTGCCCTCAGTTTATCTGTTTTCCTACAGGTTTTTAAAAAAGAGGTCATCACGAAGCAAGATGTTGTTAAAATGTGTTTAGATGCTGAAGAACAGATTATTTTACACCTACGATCAAGGTTCATTATGACACAAGTCCATCAGTTTGAACCAACTAAAAATCGTAATTTCCTGTTATTAATGCTCAACTTTTGCAATTCTGGAGTGGATGTTTTTCCCCTCTGTCTCTGTGTTTTTATGTCTGTTGTCACAATACCTCTAGAACTGCTGGGTAGATTTTAACGTAATTTATAGAAAGTAATCAGTGAATGTACATCTAAAACTTATCAACTTTGGAGTTAACCCAATTCAAGATGACTGCCACAGTCAACAAATCTAAAAACAAACAAAAAAAAACATTAAAATGAATCTCAGATTGACAGAGAGTGGGGTAAAACTGGTTGTGGTAGTAGCTGAGAGTTAGCTACACCACATCCATGCACAAGACCTTTGCTTAAAACTGTTGGAGTCAACATTATCTGTTAGCCAAATTTCTCATGAACTATTAACTGGATATTTATTAAAGGATTTAAGGTTCTTTATTTGTCATACGCACCATATGTGGTACATGTGGAATGAAATTGTGTACACAGGGTCCCAGTTACATCCAACAAAGCATAAAATGTAAAAAAATAAAAATAAAACAGTAATACGATCTAAGATATGAACTAAGAAACTTGTGAATAATGAAACTTTTAAGGAATAATCTTTCAATTCAGTTTATATATATATATAGCACCAAGTCACAACAGAGGTCATCATAAACATTCAAATAGATTATGAAAGCCAATTAATAAAAGTTATCTATCCGAGGAAGCCAGATTGAGTTGAATCTTCACTTCCTCACAGTCTAGTGAGCAAGCACAAAGGAGACAGTGGAAAGGAAAAACTCCCTTTAAACAGGAAGAAACCTCCAGCAGAACCAGACTCAGGACGAGCCGCCATCTGCTTCGACTGGCTGGGGTTTGAGAGGAACAGGAAGGAGAAACAGACAAACATATAACGGCAGGTCCAGGTGAACGTTCTATAGGAGGAAAGAAAACAAACAAACATTAAGCTAGAAATAATTACAAATACAAACAGAGGAGAGTAAGTAAGGACAGCAGCAGAGTGAGGAAATAATAATAATAATCATTTTATTTAAAAAGCGCCTTTCAGGACACTTTACAGCAAGAAACATACCCGATGCATTAAACAAAGTTAAGAAGGACGATCTGGTCTAAAGAGATGTGTGTTTCAGTCTTGAACAGAGAAAGAGAGGTGGTGTTTCGTAGGTCTGGGGGTAGAGAGTTCCAGAGGTGAGGAGCAGAGCAGGTGAAGGCCCTGCTCCACACGGTGGAGAGGCGGGCAGAGGGTACATGGAGGTGCAACGAAGAGGAGGAGATGGTGAAATGTGAAAATGCGGTCAGTTTGTTCTCCAGCTGTCTAAATCTATATAGCAGGATAACTAAAGGATAGCTCAGGAAACCGAAGCCAACTAACTATAGAATGTAAAGACTTAAGCCTAATCTTAAAATTAGACGAGGTGTCATTGGATATGAATCTTTGTTTTTGGAGCGAACCCAATTTAGGATGGCTGCCACAGCTAATTAATCTGTGGAAAAACAAATCACGTGGATAAATCAGTCAGTTTTCCACATGTGCTGCAGCTGTGAGTCATTCCCAGCACACAGAGTGTGAGCGCTCACGTTATACAGAAACAATAAATGTGCACGGGGTGCTCCGACAACGTCCCGCTCTTGGCGACAGTTGAATTTCTTACGATGATTGTGCGTTTAGTGAAACTGTAGCGGCGCACTTTTTGTTTGCTCATCCTAATGTAACACCGTCGTGCTGATCCTGGACACGCCAGGATCCTGGAGCGTGTTTACCTCCACGCACACACATACAGCAGCGCTTGTTGGTTCAGGACGCCGGACTGCACGTTTACACACCCACGAGCCTTCGCCGGCCTACACTGTCCCACACCCAAAAGCAACAGGATCTTTGAATAAATGTGTAACCGTGCACACACACCTTTCTCAAATATACATTCCTCTACACCCTGATTAAAGCAGCTGCAGGGAGGCTCGCACTGAGGAGTGACACTTGAGACGTGCAGAGAGCTTCATGGCCGCACCGTCCCGACCGCACAGGTAAGCAGAGACAAAAGAGCCGAACTTATACAGGATGACAGCTTTCCTTAAGGTTTGAAGAATTCATTGAACAAACGATGAAATGCCTTTTTGCTATTGCTCTTTTTAAACGAATAACATATATTTAAAATAGTTAGACTTAAGCTGACAGAGCTAATGAGGCACAGTTTCAAATACAGCAAATGTCTTTAAGGTTTTGTTTGATTTGTAGTGAATTGAAGTAGATTTGGGTGATCCCCTAGCACTTCGTCAACAAGATGTAATCTGGCTTCTGAGGCTTGTTTTAAGTTGCCTGCGGCTTGTATTTGGACACAGGCAGCTAAAGCAAGTCTTGGACGCCAGTGACACACCGCCGACCTTTAAAGTGGAGGGGAAAACAGCACGAAGGCACAAAATGAAACAAGTTTAGACTCGCACAAAAGATTTGTTTTATGTGTGAGGAAGTGACAGTCTGAAAAGTAGGCGCTGTATATGCACAATATACAGGATGTATACGTCACTCCACAGAAACAGCTACTGGTTTTGGAGGTCCATGCATGCCTGAGCTCAGTCAGGTGACTGATTGCGTAGCTGGTTAATTATTAGCACCATTTACTTTCAGTTTGGTCAACACAACGAGCTGCGGATGGGGAATATGAATTCATGTCACATGTTTAAAGGGTTTGTTTGACGTTCAATCAAATACACATTTTAAGATGGAATTTAACATTTTTTTTTCTGTTTAGGCATGACATCACTTGTTTTGTCTTTTCCAGGCTGCAAAGCGTTCACTTTTAGAGAGAGAAATAAACTGATGAAACATACGGAGGGGGGGTTTGTGTGATACATAGACTCAGGATGTGCAAGTTGTTGTCCTTGCATTGGCTTGATGGATTTCAGTGTGAAAGCAGCAGACACAAAGAAGAAGACGGATGACAACAAACAAATATCCTGGAGTCAAAACGGTGGTGTAAAGGTCACGGATGTTACCTTGTAGTGTTTCGTTTTCGTTTGTTCATTTAGTTATCGACAAACTTTCCAGTGAGGTGTTCAATTGCTATAACTTATTGTCAATTTATTTCTGTTTGTAATGTCCATTTACCTGAAATAAAATCTTCCAAACGTTCTGTTTAATCCTTTGTGATGACAATTGTCTCCTTATAAAAGATCGATCCAGTTTTAAAGCTAACCGTTGAAAAGTATGAAACCATATTATTCTAAGCTATCGGTGCAGTTTGAGAGTAGGTTTTTCATAAATTGCAGTTCTGAACTGCAGGTCTGCACTCAATGTAAACAAAGCACTCGTTGCGTCAACCACAACAAACATGGAAGCTCGAGTCCCATAAACTATAAGTAAATATGGAATGGAACGAGTGAAAAATCGAGATCAAACCATTTAAAAAAAAAGACATCAGTCAGGTATAACACACTTATAAAGATTATATTTTGTTTTATATATTTACTTTTCATTTTATATGCATTTTATGGCTGTTTATCACCGTGTGCACCTTATGGTCTGTCTAAAACATGTCCCTCTTGAAAACGAGTCCTCGTGACTCAACGAGAGTAACCTGTATAAATAAAGGTTGGATTAAAAAAGTAAATATTGGGGATCCAGAGCTCAGGATTCAAACGCACAGCTTTTGCAAAACTTCTGCTAGACCTGGTAATTTTAACATTTGATCTATTTCAGTCATGCTTTTTCATATTTCAGGACACGTTCACCAAAAATAAGACTAAACATTTTATTTCTTTAGGATAACTTTTCTTTTTTTATTACCATGCCCTTCTTAAGTTTGCAATAAGTTCCTAACGAATGCTCATATGATATTTCAGAAACCATCAAACAGAATGCATGATGGTGTCGGTGGACATAATGATTTTACAGTTGTGACGTCATAGCCATATAACCCTAAGTCCACACAGAGAAGGTTAGGAGGGATGCAATGTTCCTGTTGTTCCTCACCCACTGAAGCGTGCTCCTCTGAAGGTAAATATTCGTCTCCCAGCATGAAACAGGTCTTTGCTGTTTGCCCAGAGCTAAAGAGGCGGAAAAGTGAGGAGGATCTGAACTGGTTTCCATGTCAAACACTTCAATTCACCATAGAAACTCAGATCTTAACGCGGAAACTTTATTAAACTGTGATGGCGGATTGATAAGGGCTGAATTTCTATCGGCCTCTTTTTATTGTGGGCACCAGGCGGGCTGACAGAGGTAAATTGCTCTTTTAATTAAAGCAATGCACCAGGGGAAATTGCTGTCTGAATATTGTCTCAGAGATGGGGGCCAGCGACAGTTGCCTGGAAACTTCAATCTGTCCCCCCGCATTTATTCCAGATCGCAGTTATGAGATAAAGTTTAATAAAAATCTTTCCCTGCGCCACCAACGAAATGAAATCCAAGCCTTGCTGAGCGTCGGAGCACAATGAGGCAAGCCTGCGGGGGACAGCTCATGTTCAACATGTATCTCTCAGGTTCGTCCTTCGGGCCGGGATGAGCGGAACCGGGCTGTTCTGGCTCGGCTGCTTCGGGTTTGTCCGGCGGCTGCTGACGCTCCGGTTCCAGAGCGCGCGCGCCTCTTTTCAATCTGGGAGCCCGTCTGCTCTTTTGTCGGAAATCGGAAATCCTTTTTCCTGGACGCGTTTCCTGCACAGGGGACCGCCAAGACGACACGCTTTACGCACCGGACTCCGCGCGCGCGCGCCCGGATCCAATTAGGATTCTTGTCAATTTTAGGATTTTAAACATTCCACCTTAGAGATATTGGAACATTGCTTTTTTTTTTTTTCCTCATCTTATATGAGCTTTTATCTTCTAAAACCCAGCGCAGCTTTTTGTTTATTCTTACATATCCACCTGTTTTATTTTATATTAAAGTGTTGCAATGATCCATAATAGACATATTTGTATATTAGAGGATTTTTCTAAACAAATCAAAACAAAACTGGGGAAAAAAAAGGGCATTGCAAAGAGGCCTCTGTTTTAATGCTTTTACAATATTTCAAAGGAATGATAACAACATTTATGTGTTTTTATGTTTTATTTCAGATCCAACAGAAAATCTGTTGAAAGAAAGTAAAGGAACGTCCTGGGGTCCAATAAATACAGGAGTGCAAAAAGGTAAGGAGGCGCGCAACAGCGGGACGAACGCATTTATTATATGGATGTTTTTTATTTGACAAAGGTTATTATTATTATTATAAAAACAAACAATAGGCCTACTCAAAAAGGAAATTATACTACAATATTTTTGAATTACATTTCAGAATAATTAAAATAAATGAGAGAGACAAAAAACTTAATAATCGTTAAATTCTTCTCCATCATTTAATTTTTCATTTGTTACAATTTTCCTTCAAAATTTTACATCTAGCTTAATTTAATGCATTGTTTTCTATATTTATTTGTTTTAATTTGAGCTTCAGATCTTTATATTTTAGACCAATAGTTGCAAACCAAGCCTCCACTTGGTGTAATGTTTATTTCTCTCTAAAACTTGCGTTTTAAAATATGTATTTGCAGATTTGAACAAGAAAGAAAAAAAAATAACGAAAAACGAACGAAAAAAATGCATAAAAACACTTTTTAATGCATTTTTTTGTGTTTTTTTTATTTATTTTAAAATGCAGTTCAATTAAATCTGTAACATTTTAAGATGATCATTTTACAAATCTGGTTAAATGTTACGAAATTTCTTAATTAAAAAGGTAATCAAAAATAACATCTGCAAACAGATCTGTACAGACTGAAGAACAGGGTGGAGAGTAACTTGGTTCTTTTTGGAAACATTTATGAATGGAATCATTTGACGTGATTATGTGTTTAAAATAAAAAGGAGAATGAAGAGATTTGGATAATCCAAGTGATGTTTGGGCCTCCTGTCTCAGGCAGTGGGCAGATCCAGCTGTGGCAGTTCCTCCTGGAGCTCCTCTCTGACAGCACCAACGTGTCGTGCATCGCCTGGGAGGGCACCAACGGGGAGTTCAAGCTCATCGACCCGGATGAGGTGGCCCGGCGCTGGGGCGAGCGCAAAAGCAAACCCAACATGAACTACGACAAGCTGAGCCGCGCGCTGCGCTACTACTACGACAAGAACATCATGACCAAAGTGCACGGCAAGAGATACGCCTACAAGTTCGATTTCCACGGCCTGGCGCAGGTGTGCCAGCCCTCCACCACCGAGCAGGCCCTCTACAAGTTCCAGGGGAACTTCTCCCCGATCCCCTTCTCGGGTTTCTCCAAACTGAACCTGATGGCGCCCGGGGTGGGGCCCTCGGGCTTCTCCTACTGGCCCGGTTCCCCTCCCGCGGCTCTGTATCACAGCCACAACCTGCAGCCTCCGGGGCCCATTGGCACCGTGTCTCCTTCCCACATCAGCTGCGTGAACAACATCAACAGTCTGAGCAACATCAACACGCACCCCTACAACTGACTCACGGAACCGAGGGGGGCGCTGGGGCCCACAGGGCGGCTTTGGCTGATGGAAACATCGAATTTAGCGGCTTCATCCCTTAATTGGCACTTTCAGGCTAAAGCCCCAGTTTATCCAGAAACTAAGCTGCAGATTTTCTCATGGAAAGTGTGGTTCAAATTTAAAACGTTCTTTCTCGACTCGTCCGGTGCGCAATAACCTGCTGCTGAACACAAGCAAGCAAGAGACCCACAAACACTTGTACAATTAAACCAGAACATCTTTAGTTACTTTTCTTTTATATGTCTGTGAGATGTATTCTTTTGTCCTGCATTAGGCTGTGGAACGCACCACAACGTCTGATTTTACGCACAGCGCATGGAATCCGTTACGCGCGGCATTTAGACAAATTAACTAAAATCATAAACATCTTTTAAAAAAAAGTGCATTTCTTAATTATAGCAACACGTTGATGAACTGAATCAGAAATTAACATTTTAAACGAGGCGCGCTGTCTTAAGGGAGGTAAAAAAAAAATGCCGAAGGCATATTTTCAAATGTACGCAAACCCAAAAAAAAAACCAAAAAAAAAAAAACGTGAAATTGAAATAAAAAGCAAATTATTATCAGCTGCAATTCACGTTCCCTGTTTCTGTTCTACTTCATTACGGTTTTGTTTTAGATTTTTGCTGGACGTATCAGTTTTGGAGCAAATCGTCTGATTATTTTTGGCTCTTTGGCGCCATCTCGTGGTTTTGCGACTGAATTGTTTTTATTATTTATTTATTTATTTATTTTTTTTGCCTGAACCTTTGCCACTGATGAGTGTCATGACATGAGATTAAACACAGAAAATGTGTTAATAGTGAGTTTGAAAACATTTCTGGGAGGAGTCAGGAACACAAATGGGCTGCTTTTATTATAAATTAAATTACATAGCTTCATGTTGTGCAACTGTTTCAATGCCACAAAATCAAGTCAATAAAATTACATTTATACAAACATCCTTTGGTTCATAAGAGTTTAAATCAAGTCAGAATGTTGACGTGTTTCTGTTTAATAATTTGAGTTTCCGTGTATTGAACTTCACTTCTTCATCACATTTTCAAATATGCTCAAATGTGACTTTTACTTGTGATTAAAAACAGCCACTTCAATGACGAACTCATAATATCTGCTGACCTACAGGGTTTTATGAGAACAAAATTACTCACAATTGGATAAAAATAGCCTGAATTAAAAAAAATGTTGAGCACATTAAATATTTTTAGGACTATGTTTAGCTTTGGTTAGAACATATTCAGCAGCGTAATCTGGATATGCTTATGGGTCCCTTAAAGATTTAATAAAGCATAACTCATCTTGTAAACACATTATAAAGCATTAATAGCCATGCATAAAACAGTTATAAGATATATGTAACACTGAAGCAAGCTCACAGTTTGGCTAAGTCAGATACTGTACATTATTTCAAACGTTTTTCACAAATGGAAACACTATGAGAGTTTGCAGAACTCTTTATTTTGGCATATAATAATTTGAAAACTGAGCAAATAATGAATTACATTCATTATTCCTTCTTTAGATAGAAAACTTGTCTAATTGGTGTTTATACTGTTTATACTGTATGTGAATGTTTTTGTTCCGTGCCCTGCCTAACTTCTGTTGTGACTTGGAACTATATAAATAAACTGAACTGAATTGAATTGAATAGAAAAGTGCAGCACTTGAGCTTGCCAAATAGTGAACTTGCTTCAGTGTATAAAGATTTCCTCATAACTGTTTATAAATGCTTAATAATGCTCAATAAAGTGTTTACAAACTCATAAATAGGCTGTTAATAAAGCATGAATTAATCATTCATAAAGTGGCCCACTTTATTAATGAAGTGAAATCAACATGTGCAACATTATAACATACATTTCTGTTCAGACTTGCATTCGTTTTCTGGAGTGCTGCACAAAATTTGTCCCGGTTGTGGTTTGACTTTTTGGATGCACGTCCATTTTAACTAGTCCCATTAATGTAGATTAAATCTTCCCATCGATTACAAAGAGTCAGCTGAGATTTTTATTTATTTAATTATTGAACATCACATCACAGATTCAGCCGGACAAACAGACAATATCATACAACACCGTAACACTTTGAAAATCGAGTTTCCGTCTCTCTTGTCTAGCGATTATGCTTTAACTTTTTCTGACAAAATAATATTCATACATTTAATGTTTAATAAAATATATTGAATTTTTGGTTTACCAGCTGAAGAAAATTATTATTATTTTTTTTAGTTCGAAGTGGACAATTCTTTACCTTTAGTGTCTTGTAGCTGCTTCAAGGAGTGATAAAGTATAAATCCTGTGGGTTTAAAGCTTTAAAGCAGTACCTCTTTTTAGCCACACGAGGGCGACTTAACTCTTCTTCTCCAATGACAGTTTACATAACATGTTGCTCAAAGGGCTGGTTTAATATAGAAGACACAGATAGTGGCAAATTGCAGATTAACCCTTCACCTCATTTCCTCACAGTGCCACTCAGATAAGCAACTGGACTGACAGGACAAGAAAACAGAGACTGAAAAAAACACAAATGGTTTTTATTTTGATGACAATTTTGAGATGCTGTTTTGAACCTTCAAACCTTTATTCATGTATCAGTCTTTATGAATGAAGTGATGGAAGCATCAGCAAAGACTTGGAGAGGGAAGGAGTCAGTGTTTGTGGATGTGTCCTGCACATCAAGAGGAACAGCATGATGTCACAGCGGACAGCCATGCAGGTGCTGTAAAAACTCCCAGCCTGCATGCGTCCAGACAAAGCTGCCTAATCTGGAGTGTGTTTCTTACACCACAGTTTGTGCTTCTCCAAAGAGCACAGTGGAAACTCTTGGGGGATTTGATCACTTCCACAACGCTGCAATCGTCACTTTCCTCTGCGCCACTAATCTGCTGTGCCTGTTGCTGATCCTCTCGCTTCTTGCATAACAAACTGGGTGGGTGTTTTCCTGCAAGCCTCAGGATTAACTGTATGAAAGCACAAGACAGGAGAGAGAAGAAAAGACTAGAGATGAGCCGAGAAGCTACATTTATAGCAACCGTTTATATACTGTGCTAGACGCACTTACATTATACAGGCAAACTTTTGAAAGGTTTTAAAACTTTAATGCTATTTGTCTTAGATGTGTCATAATAATTTCTTCACATTGACAAAACATAAAAACTGTTCTACTGCTTTATTTACTGGCATTTAAATAAGATTTAAATAAACAACACATGGTTATGTCATCCTTACACATGGGAGAGAAAAAGACAATGAAACTGCTGCAATGTTTGATAAAAAATGTAAAAAAATCATATTGGTCTGTTCATCTAAACTGAGTAAGCAGAGATGTTGAGTCTTGATCAGGATGGCAATAAAAGAGCTAATAGTTAATAAAGATACTTAAAATAAAGCATTTTCTGCCATAATGCAGCGTGAAAGCTGAGCGTTGAAGGACTTTGCTTGAATTTGATGAAATGAAGAGAAATTGGTTAAACTAATTACTGAACTGTTAATTTTACTGGAATTACATTAAAAAAGACACAAAGGAAAATGTGACACATAGAGACATGTGAAAGACAAAAAAAGATGTGTATCAAGTAAAAAAATACATAAAACAACAACAAAGAGATGCATAAGGAGACATTAAACAAATATAAATAATACAAAAAAAAAAGGACATACTTTATAAGGAGACAGAAATTTTGTGTGACCCTTAAAAAGACATAAAAACCCAATAATTGATGCATTTATAGACACAAAAATGTTAATTGTCCTCACTGAGGATCACATTAATGTGTGGTGGCAGCACCATTTGATGGGTACCAAAATTCAATAACTCAGGTATAAAATCTAACATTGTTCAGTCAGGTCATATGGACGGTTTTGATTTTTGTGCGAGACATTTCGCCTTCCATCCAGAAGGCTTCATCAGTCTGGGGAAACAAACAAACAAAACTGCTTCTCCCCCAACAGCATACACCAAAGTGGGGGAAAAAAAACAAAACAGTTATGTTGGTGCTAAGATGGTTTCTCTCCTCCGGTGCCCGCCCTCTCCCTCGGCAGCAGTCACATCAAACTGGTTGAAAACACCAAAGTCCATGCTCAATAATCCAGGTATAAAATCCAACAATTTTCAGTCAGGTCATTACTTCACCACTTGCTCTTGCCGAGATCAGATTCTTTTCCCCTCCCTCTCCGCTTTGCTGCTCGGTCTGTCTGTGAAACTGCTTCTGAGCCTCTCTTGCGAGTTTCATTACTTTTTGTCTGTCTAAACAGATCTCACTTGTAAATGAGTCTTCTAGGCACAATGTGACTTATCTGTCTAAATAAAGGTTGAATGAATTAATCTGGATGGTTTCATTTTTTGTGCGAGACGTTTCGCCTTCCAGCCATAAGGATGGAGTAAGCTGTTGGGGGAGAAGCAGTTTTGTTTGACGTTTCCTCAGACTGTTGTAGCCTTCTGGATGGAAGGTGAAACGTCTCAGCACAAAAAATGAAACCGTCCAGATGACCTGACTGAAAACTGTTGCATTTGATGAGTATATTTTCACAGTTTTTAAATTTTCTTCAGAAAAGTGAGTGCGGGGTGTGAGGACAAACATCCCCAGAGAAAGACAAACAAAAGGAAACAAGAAATCCAACACTATTTTTTGTGCATGTATTCAGTTTAGGACCTTTCAGGAGCACCAACACAGTCATCAAAACCTGACAATGTGAATAAAGCTGAAGGCATGACTAAAGCCTTCTACTGATACAGCCTCACGAGCAAACCAAACTACCAGAGCTACCAACAGAGTAATTATCAGTAGTTGGGCAAAAATTAGGCAAATGGTCATCTTTACCTAAAGAATGTACCTAAATGTAAAAAAAAACAACTTAATTTTGAACTGAATTAAAAAACAAGGTACAAACCTTAATAAAGCTTCTCAAAATGTACATATGTGTGAATTAGACAGAAATGTATTTTCATCCCTCATAAATCAGCAGGTCTGTGTTCCCTGCGGTGCATCAGCACAAAGTGGTCCTCGAGCTGCTTTGTGTGGTGAAGAATCGCTGCCAGTGACTCATTCTTCCAAGCAGAGAGAGCGAGAGAGAGAGCAAGGCAGCGAGAGAGAGAGAGAGAGAGAGCGAGAGAGAGGGCAAGAGAGAGAACGAGACAGAGAGCGAGACAGAGAGCGAGAGAGAGAGCGAGAGAGAGAGAGCGAGAGAGAGAGAGCGAGAGAGCTGTAATAAAGGCTGAGCAAATTTAGAACAACACACCTACAGGTTGCTGAAATAGACCTGAGAGTAAGAAGGTGAGGGAAGGAGAGGTGAGAAAACAAGACACACTTAAAGACGGAGGAAGGAGAAGCATAAAGAAAGCAGAGAAGAACAATATGGATTAATTTATTCTGTTTTATTACAGAGGTTTAAGACGACAAAAAGATTCAATGAAAATCTGACTGTTTAGCATCAAAATAATAAAAAAAAAACCCATC